AATAGTAAGTATTAAAATAAACCCAGATATATATGGATAACTGAATTTTCACAAAGGTGCAAAGGCAATGCAACTGATTTTTGGCAAAAAATAACCTTTCAACAAATGGTGCTGAAACAATTGGATATTCATATGCAGAGAGCAAAACAAAAAACCCACCTTAAAACCATACTTGTTACACATACTAAAATTAATTCCAAATGGCTTATTAAGCTAAATGCAAAACCTAGAAATATAAAACCTCTAGAAGAAAACACAGGAGAAAATCTTTGTGATTTTGGGTTAGAGCACACGCTTAAAAGAACAAATTGACAAATTGAACTTCACCAAAAGTAAAAACTGCTTTTCAAAAGACACTGTTAAAAAAAAATATTTTTAAGGCCAGGTGCAGTGGCTCATGCCAGTAATCCTAGCACTCTCAGAGGCAGAGGCAGGAGGATCACTTGAGGTCAGGAGTTTGAGACCAGCCTGAGCAACAGTGAGACCCCTGTCTCTACCAAAATGAGAACAAATTAGCCAGGCATGGTGGTGTGCACTGATAGTCCCAGCTATTCAGGAGGCTGAGGCAGGAGGATTGCTTGAGCCCAGGAGTTTGAGGTTGCAGTGAGCTATGATGACACCACCGCACTCTAGCTGCGGGTGACAGAGTGAGATCTTGTCTCAAAAAAATAAATAAATAAATAATTTTTCTTTTAAAGTCATAAACTGGGGGGTTGGGGGGGATATTTGCAATGCATGCACCTGAAAAAGAATTTGTATCCAGAACATACAGACAATTCTCAAAACACAACTGTAAGAAATTAAACAATCCAATTAAAAAAATGAGCAAAATATTTGAGCACTTTACCAAAGAAGATAAAGAAATGGCTAATAAGCACATAAAAAGATGCTCAGCATCATAGGTCATTAGGATACAGTAAATTAAAATCCTAATGAGATACCAATATAAATCTTTTAAAATGGCTAAAATTATAAAAGCTGATTATATATACCAAATGTTACCTAGGATGTGGAGAAACTGGAACTTTCACTCTCTGCTGGTGGAAACAAAATAGTATATATAATTCCTTTGGAAAACAGTTTGGCAGTTCCTTAAAAAGTTAAACATTCACTTACCATATGACCCAGCCATCCCACTTATACCACTCCTACATATTTACCCAAGAGAAATATATATGTCCATACAAACACTTGTACATGAATGTTGATAGCAGCTTTATCTGTAATAGCTAAAAACTAGAAACAATCCAAATGTCCATCAACAGGTGAGTGGATAAAAAATGCATTATATCCATATAATAGAATACTATTCACCAGTAAAAAGGAAATGAACTGTTGATATATGCGACATGAATGAATCTCGAAATCACTATGCTTAGTGAAAGAAGTCAGACTGAAAAAAAAGTATGTATTGTATAATTCCATTAATATAAAACTCCAGAAAATACAAACTAATCTACAGTGACAAGAAAACATTAGTGGTTGCTTGGGGAAGGCAGTAAGGAGTGCCAAAGGGTGTAAGGAAATTTTGGGGGATGACAAATATGTTCATTATCTTGGCTGTGGTGATGGTTTTATGGGTATATTCAAAACTTATTAATCTGTACACTTTAAATACATTCAGTTTGTTGTATGTCTCTTATACCTCAATGAAGCTGTATTTAAAAAATACAATTTATTGGGTTCTACCACCAGAGCCTCTAACTATAAAAATATTTACCTATTTCATTAAATGAAATCAATCATTTCAAGTTTCTTACTGAAGTATAAAAATCCATTCACTTAATAAGAAGTACGATAATCTGGAACATAAAGTCACTATTTTCCAAAAGTTTCAATCAATCTAGAAGCAATCTATACTATAATGTATTCATATCAAGAGATACAGAAAAACGTGAGGGACAGGCAAAAACATGAAGGATCCATGAAGTTGAGCTTTCTAATGGCTAAGACAGAAATAGTATAATGATGACAACAAGAATAGGGAAGCAAAAATAAACAAAACCCAAGCCTAGGGGTAGAGCTAGTAAAATGGAATGAGACCTAAGATTATTACACAACAATAATCTTAATTTGTAGAAAGGCATAGAATGGCATTCAAGTAATGGGTATCAGAGAAAGGCTGGTATTCAGAAGTCCAAAAGTAACACTGGAGAACTCCATTACCACATTTTTTCACTTAACATCTGTGCATGAGATGGGCAATGTTTTACTGCAAAATAAACATCATAAACCTATTTCACTAACCAACCACTGATTTAAAACTTGTTTATCAAAAAAGTAGTTAGATGTAGAATAAATTTTAGGAATCATAATTCTGTATCTTGTATCAAATTGTTTCATCTATTTCATATAAACAGGGAAGTATAATTGGAAAAAAATTCTAGAAGCCTTATTTTTATAACAAATGCTAATCTCTATTTACATAATAATAATAAACACTATAATTTAACCAAGTTATAGATGGCGCATAAGTAATATGTCTTGGATATATGAAGGGATATCAAGTTACTTATACCTTAATCATCATTACGAGTTAACATTTTTTTTATTTAAAAGATATTCATCCATAATTATAACTTTTTGCCTTCTTCAGCTGCTTTTAGAGAATATTAAAAAGTACTTACAATTTTTTCCCTAAGTTATGGAGAAAAGGATAAAGTTAGTAAAATCCAGACATTATAAAAACAAATGAATTAAGCTATGAGCAAATGAAAACAAAAAGACAATTTCAGTGGCATCTCTGACAGCCATTAACAAGCCAGGAGAGAGGCCTCAGAATGAGACTTATCCCACAGACAACTTGATCTTGGATTTCTAGCTTCCAGAATTATTAGCAAATAATTCTGTTGCTTAAGCCATTCAAAAAACATTAATGGTATCTCTTTTATTTATTTTTAATTTTTTTAGAGACAGGGTCTCACTCTGTTACCCAGGCTGGTCTCAAACTCCAGGCCTCAAGCAATCCTCACACTTTGGCCTCCCAAAGTGCTGGGATTACAGGCGTGAGCCACCTCACCCAGTTAGTGGCAACTCTTTTAAATGTACTAAAATATTTTGTACTATATCTTAAAGGACATTATCTAGTAACTTCAAAAAGGAGTAACATCCAATATATTTTCTTTTCATTAACAAATAAAATCTAAAGAATAATATACTTGCAGCTTTTAAAAAGGAAGAGGAAGAAATAAAAGTAGTTTGAGATTTAAGATTTAAAAAGGTAGCAAATGAAGGAGAATCTAATATTTAGCATTAAGCTAAAATATTTTTATCAAAATATTTCATAAAATCAATGTACTCCTAGAAAGGATATCAAATCACTTAACTAATCTATTACTAAACTGGACTATTCACCTGTTGTTCATAGTGAAGTTTATAGAAGGTTTTCATTTGAATTTCTTAAAAAAATAAAAAACTGTCAGAAAATTAAGAAGAATCTTATAATGCATAGTTTCATTAACTAGGCATTTTTTCAAGCATTCCAACCCCACTTAGAAATAATACAAGATATCCACCCAATGCTTTAAAATCCAAGGCCTTTAATTCAGTTTTCGGTAATGACCATACATGCCTTCACAAAAACCTCTTTCTCACTGTAAATAGAAGGCACTAGGCATTACATAATACACGTAAAGCAGTGATTCCTTCTGATGCTGGTGGAGATAAAACATTAAATGGCAGGGTTTAGATATTACGAAAATCTTCTCAAGAAAAAAAATATAAGACATCTGAAAATCACACAAAAGAATTAAGTTACCAGACAGTCTTTCTCAGGTTCCCAGTACAACTTTACATTATTTTTACAAGTACATAATTTGAAATTAGGAGATAAACCAGGTAAGTATGATATGGTTTTCAACATGTGTTAGGTTTCAGTTAAATACAGTAAATATGAAGACACCATTATCATGCTAATTGGCATCTTTTGCTATTCTTTAGCTGTGCAAAATAAACTTGAAATGATATATCCTGTAGTGGTATAATTTAAAAGATCCTTGATATGACACTAACAACTTTCAAATTCTGGTCACAAACCGTATATAAATTGTAATATTATTAAAATATACCTTTTTGAAAAATAATAAGATGACCATTTATACCTAAATAAGGTTTCCCAGAAAATTATGAAATACTTTAGCATATAAAAGTAGTTGCCCCTTTTCTGAAAGGTCAACTATTGTTTCACAAAATAACTCATATGATCCAAGGCAAGTGATTTCTTTCAAATGCCATATTCTCTCTGTGACTTTGAGGTAAGCTTCAAGAGACTGTATCCATGAGAAAAGGGCACACTTGGGTATCAGACCACAGTTACAAACACAAGGAGCCTTTCTTGGGTCAGGAATGCCCTTAAGAGTTATATCAATAAAGAACAAGAGATAGCTTCTGAAGTCATTTCTTTTACAAATACATACAGCTAAATTTGGTTATTTAGAGGGTAATTTAAGACACAGCTATTAACATGTATGTGCTATGTCACGTGTGCCTATTTTACATAGTGGTGTCTGCAGGACTCTTATTCAAACACAAACCAAACAACCTTAATCTACCAAATCATATTCTTCTATTTTTGGCAAGGTAGTATAGTTTAAAATAGAAACAAACAAAAACAAGAACAGCAAAAAACTAGCTATAGCAGTGATTCAGGCAAAAGTTCCCAGGTCAATAGGGAAAGGGTTCTGAGAAACATTAATTTGGGGGAAAAAAACAATACCAAACAGTGCTGGAAATCAACCTTCCAATCACTCAAATAACTATCACATAAGACTTATGAATACCTTTGAAATAAGAACAGTTCAGTTGAAAATATAGCTCATTATGAGGTTTATAATTAGAATGTCTCTGAAAAACACCCAAGCTAATTAATTTAAACAGGCCCAGTTAGTAAAGAGTAAGAGAAATAAACTCTTCAATAATTTATATTAGATGCCTGCTTGCCTTTGGAGAAACTGATACATTAATTTTCGAAATAGTAAAGAAAAATAGTGAAATGTCAAGAACCATTCATTCCCAGGGTGTCTCTCATGTATATATTAAATATACACATTTTAAAAAAAGGAAAATAGTGAAACGAAAACCTACATGACAATTGAGAAAAACCCCACCATGCCTACTAATAAACATGATGGATAGCAAGAAGCATTTTTAAGCAATGATCACTTGACAGAATGCCTTATAAAACTACGTATCATAATCAAGCCAAGAAAAAGCTTTAAGACTAGCAGCTGGACTTCGTGAAACATGTAGGACAACAGAAGGCACTACATAAGCATCAATTATTTCTAACTATAGTTGGACAGTTCAGTCTTTTCCTTCTTAAGAAGACAGCCAGTGTGAATGTTATTTTTATATCCCCCTGAGTTTTAACATGATTGGGCAAAACAGCACCAATTTAAAAAAATATCTGCAATGCCAGCACTGCAGTATGGAATCACTAATACTGATGGCCCCACAGGTCTCTCATAAGAGCACTTTAGAACATGATTAAAAATATAGAAATGCCTTTCGGTGTTTCAGTACTAAAGTGGAACCACCACAGATATCCATTTTTAAAAATAATGCACTAAAAAGGTCTGTTTATACAATACAGTCTTTCCACCCTGTATCTAGCATTCACAGCTATTTTCCACTCTTCTGCCACTGAGAGACCGCCTTTTTGTGCGTCTGGTTGAAATGTCATGCTTCATGGTGCACAATCCTTTCTGGATGGGAAAGTTCTGGCAAATATCATGTCATGCCCGTTTTGAGTAGTATGCCTTGCAGATCTTCTGGCAATGCTAAGATAATTGCATCTATATGTGTCCGTAACTTTTCCACAGTGTCAGGTTTCACAGGTAAACACTCTCGATCAGCCTGCAACTACATAAGGAACATTTGGTAGCATTTAATGGAATCCGTATTAATATATTTTTTAAATAAGCAGTTTTAAAGATCTATTTGGAAACTTTTGGTCTTAGACCAGAATATACAGAAACTAAAAGAGCAAAGAACATTCCATTTAAGCAATACATTGCTGAGCTCAATAAAAGGTTTCTATATAAATTTATAAAGAATACCTAGTAAGTGACAATGTTTTTGTAGAGCTTATTAGATTCCATGTAAATAACTTTGGAATGACATGGCATCATTATGATCTGCTTGAGTAACCAAGTATTTTTAGTGAAATCTATTAAATACCATCAATTGACCAACCTCAAGTCCTCTCATTCAAAAAGTTACTTCTATGATACATCATGGATTGTTAGCTCAAATGAGAGGAAAATATCTTCACAAGAAAAGTCAACTTACTCTTTGGCTGTTTTGGCTACATACCAGCTTATTTTTCAGCTTCAATACAAGGTCTACTGTTTCTACTTCTGTGTGTTTCTGGATCCAGAGAAGTAAGTCCTAAAACAATAAGCAAATCCCAAATCAGTAAGTACTCAAAATAATATTCAAATTTCTCTATTTCAAAAGGCAAGGCTACTGCTAAGGAAGGATAGGACAGGAAAAAGAGAATAAGGTATTTAACCCAGATACAGGATGATAGTGCAAGAATAATTCTCATGATATTCTAATAACTGTTAATTAGATAATTTTTGACACTAGTCAAAACAACTGTCTAATATTTGAAAGTAACACAAAATGTAAATATAGCTATTATGTACCCATAATAATTAAAAATGAAAAAAGAATTTTAAATGTAAGAAAAGGCCACCTCCTTTCTGAGGTGGCCTTTTAAGGTCAAGTAAGAAAAATAAAATTGTAACTCAAACTGTAATACTAACCCCCACACCTACTAAGTAGTGAATAATTAATTTATAAGGAATATTAGCTAACAAATCAAGATAACCAAACACAAATGTGCATTGGATGTAAACTTTGAATCTTCCTGAGCTAATACTGTAACTGCTTTCATCATATTCCCTTTCTCAAAGCCATAGTCACTGAGAGTTTATGATAAGAAAGTTGACATTGAGGCTAGCTCACCTGAATATTTAAAGCTAAATACCAATGAAAATGAGACTACTGTTTATATCTTCACAGACAAGTAGTTTAACTTAAACTAGGCTGGTGATAAATTATAGAATATGAAAAATCAGTCCAAACACATAAAACATTCCTAATACTAACTGGAAAAGGTGAATAAGTCATACTAGAAAAGATCTGGAGTCAGACTGCTTGGATTTAAATCCTGATTCCATCCAGTATTGTGCTGGTAAATATTTAACAACCAGTTCTCCAGAAAAGATCTCTGGTTTGTAGTTTTGCCAATTTTTGTGGTGTAATAATCCTACTACAGGCAACTTCGAGATGCCAACCTGAGGTCACTGAAAGCAGAGCTGGGAAGAGATAGATGTGCACAATCAGTTCTTAAGAGCTACTACAAGTGGACTCCAGCACGCTGCTGGCTGCACTACTTAGCAGGGATGTGATGTGAGGCAAGCCCTTTAACTTCTAAGCTGTGGGGGTCCTATAATGCAGTTCGCAACGTGAGTACCTCAGTGAACTGTTGTGAAGATTAAGAGGTGATTCATATAAAGCACCTATACAGTCCTGGCACACAGGATATGATCTAGAGTAGTTACTACTACTATTTATGAAGAAGTGGATATGGGTATAATTTTCAACCTCTAAAAATAATTATCCTTAGGTTTGCTTCCTTTATGAGCAAATAAAATTAAAGAGAAAAAGAAAAAAGAAAAAAAGAATAACTATATTTTCAACAGCTGTTAAATCATCACACAAACATGCAGTTTTCTAACCTCTTCACAAAGAGCTTCTAGATGAAGTGCCTCCAATTTTTGGGTCATTTCCTTCCGCCGGGCCTTAAACCAGCCATCAAAATTTGGAGACTTTAGGAAATGCCTGTGAGAATAAATTTTAAAAAGTAAAGTTTGATTCTGATTTATTTCCTTCTCCTCAATACCTTTCCCATCCATAGTTCAAAACTATGTCACAAAATGGCATTTAAAAAAATAATCTAAGTATAAATCCAGTTTTTTGTTTTGATTTGTTTTTAAATAAAGCACTACAGATGGGTGAAAAGGAAAAAAGACTAACCGGTAGAGTCCAATCCAATCGCCTTTTATTCTAGAGGTTAGTTGAGGTCCTGTTTTCTCAAGTGTTTTCATAAATTCTTCTGGAAGAAACTGTCTTAATTGGGGTGGACTCTAGAAAATAGGACATACTACATTTAGAAATTAGAAATCGATACATTCACAGAAGTTAATTACAGTCAAAGAACTCAAATAGAAATTTATTTGAATATATTCATACCTTCCATGGAGAAATACTTTTCTGCAAAGGCATCAAACTTGCCACATATCTTTCCTAAAACCAAGAAAAAAAGTTAATAAAGGTTTGGTGTTTCTACCCAAAGTACCTTCAAAAATATTTAAACAGACCTTTTGAAAAGAGATGGGGCTGGGTGTGGTGGCTCACACCTGTAATCCCAGCACTTTGGGAGGCCAAGGCAGGAGCATCACTTGAGCCCAGGAGTTGAAGACCAGCCTGGGCAACACAATGAGACCCCATCTCTACAAAAAATTTAAAAATTAGCCAGGCGTGGTGGTGAACACCTGTAGTCCCAGCTACTCAGGAGCCTGAGATGAGAGGATCACTTCAGCCCAGGAGTCTGAGGTTGCAGTGAGCTATGGTCGTGCCACTGCACTCCAGCCTGAGCAACACAGAGAGACCCTGTCTTTAAACAACAACAACAAAAAGATGTTTCTCATATGCTCTTTCAATGGACAGCAAAAACTTCATCACTCCCCCAAACAGGCATAGCTAAATTTAAATTGAATTGGGAAGTCAGATTTTCAATAAAAATTTAACTAAATCTTGGATAATACAAGGAACTACATATTTTTAATGATAATAATTAACCTCATTTAGTGACTATGTGCCAGAACATGTATTCAACATTTTACATGCCTGATCTCTTCTAATCCTTGCAACCATCCTATGTAGTAGGTATTTTCTAGACACAGGGGCTTCAAAAAGTTAAGTAGGCTGGGCATGGTGGCTCACGCCTGTAATCTTAGCACTTTGGGAGGCTGAGGTGGGAGGATTGCCTGAGGCCAGGAGTTTAAGACCAGCCTGAGCAAGAGTGAGACTCTGTCTCTACAAAAAATTAACCAGGCCTGCTGGTTTCTGCCTGTAGTCCTAGGAACTCAGGAGGCTGAGGTAGGAGGGTCACTTAAGCCCAGGAGTTTGAGGTTGCAGTTAGCTGTGATGATGCCACT